TAAAAAATTAAACATACTAAGATTAAATAGAGAGACGAATTAAGAAATGATTTGATAGAACACAAAAATTACGTAAAAGGAACTAATAAAAGAACAATTATGGAGCACTAGAAATAGTGCCCTATATAAAGAATGAGCACAATGATAACCTATGAAAAAAATATATATTAATTTTGATTTAAAAAATTAAAATATTAATTTTAAATAATATTATTTTATTTAATTTAATTTAATTTAAAATTAAAAAATTTATTTTATTAAACATTAATATTTAAATTTAAATACTAATTATATTAGACGCGCGGCATCATTTAGCCTTTGTCAGCAAGCCAATTGATTTCACTGCACAAACGACTGTTCTTCCAGCTCCCACCATTTTCACTGCCTTTATTCTTCTTCCCATTACCTCATATTTGCCGAAGGTAAAGTAAATGATAAACTTCTTGTATATGTGGGCTTTACAAATACTGACATATTCCAATCCCCATTTTCCTTCTCAACATTCGTGTTTTTTCGGCTTATTCTTATTTTACGCATCAACTTATATCGTATCTCCTTCTCAAAAAGGACTCGATAGGATTACAGCACTGTAAGGTAATTTGTCACGGTCCAGTCTTAAAAGAAATATCAGGACAGATCTAACTCTCGGGGATCCACTCACCCACATGGTGGCCACTAGAATAACAAAATAAATAATAATAATAATAATAAAAGAGTAAACGGTCCAGTCTTATAGAGATAATAAGTACAAATATATAATTCCCAAAACCCGCTCACCCACATGGTAGACACTGGAATAACAAAATAAAAAATAATAATAAAAATAAATAAATAAATAAACGGTCCAATCTTAAAGAGATAATAAACACAAATATCTAATTCCCAGAACCCACTCACCCACATGGTAGCCACTGGAATAACAAAATAAATAATAATAATAATAAAATAAGTAAACAGTCCAGTCTTATAGAGATAATAAGTACAAATATCTAATTCCCAGAACCCACTGACCTAGGTAGTAAACAATACAAACAAAACAAAATAAATAATAATAAATAAATGAACGTGATAATTTTTTTATTGTCAACTTACAATAAAATAAATTTAGTATTAGTTTCTAATTTATAATATAAAAATTTTTTATTGTCCAACTTATACAATATAAAATTTTAGTACCACTCTCTCAATTTATTAAAAAAATATCTAATTCTCAACCTTTCACCTTATTGATTATGACAGTACAAATCTCTCAATTTACCATATAAAAATTTTAATTTATTATTTTTTCAACTTAAATAAAAAAATTCAAAATAAATGACAATATTACGTGCTCATTAAAATTTTATTACCTATTGCTATGTTAGTATCAATGTGACAATTTTTTGGCGTCATCATTACTACTACGTCAAAGACACTATTAAGATAATAATAATACAAGAAAAAGTAACCGACAGGCTCTTAGAGATCTACGCTAACATGTGATATCATATGCTGAAATTATGTGTGATATGTGGGATATTTTAATTTGGGTTTCAGACCAATTGAAACTATTATAATCGAACCTTGTCGCGAGTATATAAACTTTGCATTATTTTAATTTATGTTTTTAAGCCACATATTAAAATTTAATATTATTTATATTAAAGAATAAAATTTAATTTTTAATTATTAAAATAATTCACATAACATTAATGATAAAATTAATATTATTTTTTTATATTTTTAATATAATTTATATTGTTAATAAATTAAATAATTTAATAATAATTTTTTATTAAAAATAAGATATTTTACATTTAAATTATATAATATATGGATAAGATAAAATAAAAAAAGAGGGTTACGTCGTATTATACAATTAAAATTAAAAATTATAATTTATATTAAAAATGTATTAATTCTACCATGAACTTGTGCTCCTAGCAAAAGATTACATGATACACAACAATTCATACACAAAAGTTCAAATTCAAGTGGTTGATAATCTTAGACTGCCCATCATAAAAACGTAGTTTTAAACCATTTTATTTAAAACA